AAACTAATTGGGTTTCTGCATAGTTCTCTTTAAAAGTTTCATTAAAATCCAATTTGTGGTTCTTTATATATCAGTGGAACATTATGCAAATTAGGTAATTAATATCCAATTAAAACTAATCAGGTGTCTGCATAATCCTGGAAGATCTATGTAGCAAGTCTCATTGAAATATGATGATTACTACTTGATATATCAAAAGCTGAAAATTAATTATGCAAATTAGGTAATTAATATGTACTCATATTACCCTAAAAACTGTCAGGTCTGTGCAGTGTCCTATGACATCTATGTACCAAATTTCATTGAAATGTGATTACTACTTGAAATATCAAAAGCTGAAAATTAATTAATTATGCAAATTAGGTAATTAATATGTACTCATATTACCCTAAAAACTATCAGGTTTGTGCAGTGTCCTATGACATCTATGTACCAAGTTTTATTGAAATGTGATGATTAGTACTTGAGATATCAATGAAAAAGCCGAAAATTGATTAATCATTATGCAAATTAGGTAATTAATATTGCACAGATTTTTACCCAAAACTGATCAAATCTGTGCATTAGTTTGGAGCATCTGTGTGCCAAGTTTCATCAAAATCCAATGAGTGGTTCTTTAGATATCAGTGGAACAGTCATGGAACAGCTAAAAATCAGCTAATTATCATGCAAATTAGGTAACTAATATGCATGGATTTTTACCAAAACCTAATCAAATCTGCGCATTTGTTTCACACACATACACACATACAGACACACTAACTGCAAAGACTCCCTTTTTGTGCTTCGCACACAGGAGTCAACCAGACTGTGGCCTATTTCTGTCACTGATTCAGATCACAGTCCCTCTATCCCTATATGATAGAGGGACTGTGTTCAGATCAAGGTCATGACGTCACTGAAAACCCTCGCATTACCATCTAACCTAATTATTTATTCTGAGCATGCTCAGTTGTTCTCTCAGTGTTGTTGGGAGGGTAACCCACTTAGGATTTTCAGATCTGGAAAAAATATTACGTGCATATTCAACAGTGACTGTTGCAGAATTTCTGAGAAAATGAAAAGCCTGAACAGGGACTAAAAATTATATCAGATACCACCGAATATAAGTAGTAAACTGTTTTTCTAGCTACCCAGCAAGGAAGTAAAAAAAGAGGAAAAACAGTAGCTACTATTAAACATATGTTGCTGTTCCATTGGGTGAACATAGAGATAATTCAACATTGTGATTACTCATGATGTCAGCAATAACTCAAGTTACATATGAACCTTCCTAGTTTGCTGGTAAAATGATGGCTAATTATAATGTCCTGGTTTATTTGGTTTATTTGTTCAACCTTTTAGCTAAAGGAACGGTTTGCATGGAAAGTAGGATTAGGTAAATGACAAGGTTGTGTGAGTTGCGCCTTCCACGATGCTCTAAACCCAACACATGACTGACAATGTAATATTTCACTTCCCTCGACGATTTGTTGTCGGTACCAATCAAATTGCAGGAACGTTAGATAATGACAGCCATCAAAAAGTAACCATTCATGACAGAGCTTATTTGTTTGTTGACATAATAAGGTGCTGGCAAATTTCTGCCCAATGTTTTGTTGAAAACAGTCTGTGACTTTTGCTGACAATGCAAACATGGCTTTGATTGATGGTGTTACTATGACCACCAAAATGAATATTCATTGAAACTCATTGCAAGAAGGCGCGAACTTTGCGAATTCACAGTATCTTACCAATGAGACATACTATTGTATAAAGACTTAGATGTTGTTTCCCAGCATTAACACAGACTATGATCATGCAAAAACACAAAACACATGTATCACAAGAGTTGCCAACAGGCAACAAGACTACGAAAAAGATTCTGAGATGAACATGAATCAGTTCTTTTCACAGACTCTAAGGATTCTATTTTATTTTATTCAATTTATTAAATATTATTTATTTTTTTATAACATTAAAATATATTCAAATACTAAACATACTCTCTGATTGGTGGGCAGTCATAACATTATATGCTTGTAAAAAACATAAAATGTTTGACTAACTGAAACAATATAATGGAAAAATGTTCATAGATACAAACAATTTCACCAAATGAATGGATCCACTTATATGTGTCTGAAAACAAACTAATGTATTTAGTGTTTATGATGTTTCACCTCATGAATACACAGTATTTGAAGGGCCAGTAACAGTAAATCTTATACAGTGAAATTACCGCTGTATACATTTGGAAAAGCACAACATGATGTGATTGACAGTCATTACAACTTGTCATGTTTGATATGGACCCCATAAGATGTATACATGGCAAATACATGGACTATTTAAAACAAAATATTAATGTGCACTGCTGGGCTACCATCAACCTTCAAACATTATTTGGGTTTAGCACCACCTAGTGTTCAAGTCAATACTCTATCCCAAAAAGCTGCATTTACTCTACTGTGATACTGCAGAATCCGAGTGCATTTTATTAATGCAGTAACATCATTATATATGGATATATAGATCCTATAAATATCATTATGAAAACTTAATTATAGAATATAAAATATATAAATCACAGCTAGGTATATTAAACCCTGATAGTGCAGAAAAAAGTCACAGCACTCTGGAATGCATAAATTGAAAGTACTCAATACTACAACACACATTCATACAAATCACCTTTAATCACATATCTGGAAATACAGACATCCAGAAAAACAAATACCCAGCAATTTTGACTTTCTGTCACTGATGGCAGTACCCAGAAACCTAGAATGACAGTATTAACACTATAAAGTGTAAAGATGAAGGGCTTCTTACTAAAGATATTTGCTAAGGACAACACAAAGCATTAAGTAGTACATGTTATTATTTTATAAAGTCATGCAAAACGACAAACAGAAAGTATACACTTATTATAAAATGATATAGCTTGGCAGTGACACTGAAATACATTTAGGATTGGTATGTGTACATCACAAATACATCTCAATTCATTTTTAAAACATGTATGAATAATGAATAATGCTCCGTCAACTCAGTCATCTGAAAAATGAAATAAAAATAAAATAAATGGCAAATTTACAAGCATAATGCTACATCTGATACAGCATAGTATCTCCCACAATGCATTGGGAATTTGATGATGGTACAATGGCATGCAAATTGTGAACACCAGATAATTTATGTAAATTTTGGTGTACATAGTAATATGCAATGAATGCTAAAATGATTTGAACTGTACCTTTGAAGTATGTGATGTCCACGGTTCTGGTGAATATGAATGGTTCCTCTGTAACTGCCTCTAAGCGTCACACCATGAAGTGACAGCTTATGATATAACAGACTTGACACTTGTTACAAGTGATGGACGTGTCAAGTCAAGACATTGACAGCTACATGAACATACACAATGGCATATTGCTAAAATTGTCTAGATCCTAAGGGGTCCATTGCAATTGGAACTCCCTAGTCCCTGTTTCAATGCTAGCACTTCTTGGTAAGTTGAGATCACATGTGTATTGATTTATGCACTTTTATAACATATTCAATTTGAAAATACGGGTATGGTCTCCTTTCCCTAGTATGAATTTTGTGAAGAATTGTTAACAGGACTCATGCATGTGAAAGCTTAAAGACTGTGGCTATTTTGATAGGCTATTATCATAGGTGATACTGAGAGAGCAAATATGACATCGCAAACCATGAATAATGAGATACAGTTTTCACAGTAAATCTATTGCAGCATATATGTCTTCATCATAAATGTGTGTAGCAATAATATAACTTAGGCTGAGAAAAAAATCATGCGGATTTGTGAATTGCTGGTACATTACTGCAATACTGCAATAGTTTTTGGAATCTCTCCAAAGACATATGACATGCACCTTTTAAAAAGTTGAATAGGATTAAACACGGATAAAACTATCTTGTACACACCTGTACAATATTTGCTCTTATACTAAAAACCTTTATTAATTGTATGCTGGATCATTAAAATATGACTTATTTTGACCAAAAAGCACCTCTGTTTTTACATAAGTGCATGCACTACTAATAGAGCAAATACAGTATATATACATGTACAGGTAGTATGGCACATATGTGTTTCAAATCAGTTAGTACATACCGATTTACATACATACTTTTCCTTACAATATGCACTCACCTTGTGTTTGTCCGGCTATTTTAGCGTCTAATGTAACCTCGTCTGATATTTCTGTAAATAAATCATTAAACTGATCTTGGAAAGTTCTGTTGTCTGGTGGCTGGTATACCTGGTATTGAAATATAATTAACATTAGAATTTATAGCATTGAATACTTTACTACAAAAATTCATATAAGGGTAAACAATTTGGATGTATCTAAGTATTATGATGTCTGTGTGTCATTCAAAAGTCATTCTAAGCAATGGCATCAAAAAGCATATTTAGAAAGGTTCAAATGAGTAAACAGAAATTAGCTAATTTTATTGTCGTCATGCACACTTTTTGAATAAGCATGGATACTAGTAAAATAGCCAGAGATGAACACAAGTTCCTTCAACTCACTCATTGGCATTAGTAATTCAAGAAATGTAAGTTTGTCTCGCATTTCATATCCAATTCATACCCTTATCTTTTAAATCACTGATCAAATTCATATTTTAATATTTGTCACAATGTTAATTATGTCTCAAAAATTCAAACAATGCCAAAAGAAATTGCTTTCAAATTATCATAGAAGACATGAAGCACTCACAGGTTTGGAAGGTTGTTTGAACACTTCTGGATCCATTCCTTTCAACTTTGCTAATCTCTCTTCCATTTCTGAAGTACTAGGTACATATCCTGAAAATAAAAATAGTGGTTTTCACAGTTTTGCTTGTCTATCTGGAACTTATCAAGACTCCCATAAAACATGCACTAAATTTGGTAAAGTAAATTACAATTGTATTAATTAAAGTCAGATTCCTTGAAGAAAGTGTTCTTCAAAATGAAGATCTATGGAACAAAGTTACACATACCAGTACATCAGAAATAATGCAACTGTAGACATTGGTTTAAGCAATTTGGTGATCTAGCCCTGTGTCAATCAAATTAACATAAGTGCAAGCATGGAAACTTATGATGGTCTTTTAAGTGGTCAGTGGACATTATATGTATTTACAGTTGTGTAAGTTACATTATAAATTTCATGAATATGAGTGACTACAACACATTTTTAAAATTAATGGGTGATACAAATCTGAATGTACAAATACCAGTTGCCCAATTTATCAAAAATAACACGAACCTTAGACAGCAACATCTTCTGGCAAATCAACATAAATACTTTTCTCCTTTAATAAGTTTCTCATTTCCATCTTTCATTGATTTACTGTTTATTGCTTTTTTTTATTATTATTATTTCATCTATTTTTTTCCCAATATTATTACCAACATTTATTTATAGTTTTGTTTGTAATTGTAGTCTGTTGATTTATTTTTTAAACCATAGTTGTGCTTTAGACAGTAATTCTTGTAAAATTTGTATGTTTTATATACGTGTTTTAGCAGTTAGTGTAACCATTTTAATTCCTTCTGAGGAATTTTAAGTGTTTCAATAAACCTATAACTGCAGTATTTTTTTGAAAATCAGAACTGTTACCAAAAGTTTTAATTGAAATTTTATTTCAAGTACCTCTTTCTTTTCTTCTCTCAGATTTTAATTTTTCCAGTCTTTCTGCTATTTCTTGGTCCTTTGGTGACATTCCTTTGTATTTGAGTTGCCCACCAGAATGATGTGGTGGTGTACAATGAGCACTTCTAGCACTGTCTATCCCAGTGGATGTCCCTCCAGATGCTTGTGCTTCAAGTCTCCTACAAGTTGATATAGATAGTTGACAAAGGTGCTTTTTTCACTTGGACACATCAGAGATGTCAGCAAGCAGACAATGACTATAGTGATAAGAAAACAACTGACCAACAAGTCTTGACACCCTCCCAAGTGGTAGTACAACATGAAATAATTATGTTAGACAGAATCAAAATCTCCAATTTTAGACTTAACTCCAAGTCCAAAGGTTTTTACAATAGATTACTATTAGCAGTCTGGCAAATGAACCCCAACTAACTCTGTCTGCTTCTCATTAAATCAGCAACCAATCAGAATTTGTGTAAAAAGTTGTTTTCTAGTTGGGTGCTCTCCAATTGGTTGAAAATACTGTCAGGGAAGAGGTGATTTAAACATAATTGAATTTTCCTTTCTTCAGATGTAAATGATGTAGAGATGACATACATGATGTATATCGGTGACAGGAATTAAAAGTGGATCTCTACCTACATCAGATTTTGAGGATATCTTGAGTCATAATAAAATCCTCAAAATTATGTTGATATTTCCACTGTTTCTACACTTTTTATTCATAAAATGTGAATTTTATTTTGCCAAATCACAAATTCTATGAAATGTTTTTCAGGAATACAATATCAATGTGTGATTTTTACGCATGGGAATGAGCATAAAACCACTTGCTTCACAAAAAATCTATGTGCACCAGTGAGACAAGATTTAGCTTAGAGACAAATTTGTTCCAACTACACAGTGACTAGGTGAGCTAATGGTTCAGTCAGTATTTGGATAATAAATGAAAACATGCAGACCTTACATAATGTGAGGTTTTAACATACTTACTTTTTAAAGTTCAAAGGAGGTGAATACCTAGCCATGTTTTCTCTGTTCTGTACCTCACTATTGGGATGAGTCAGTCTCTCATAACACTTTGTGCATACATGCTGGGGATGTGTTCCAAGTTTTGGAACAACTGCTTTCTTTGAACAACATTTTTTACAAACTGCATGACCACAATTAGCACAGCCATACTGAAAAAAAATAAATTAAAAAAGTACTGCAAAATCTGTGTTATAATCAGCAGCTTCTATTAAATTGTTACAATGCAATAGATATGAATAAATAAATAAATAATAAATAAACAAACAAACAAACAAACAAACAAATAAATAAATAAATAAATAAATAAATAAATAAATAAATAAATAAATGGCAGATATTTCAAACTATGAAATATTTTCATAATCCAGCATACAATAAATGCAATTCTTGCATTATATACGCTTCTACATTTAAACATACTCATTTACTAGTCATTTATTTGATAATTTATTGGAAACTGAAATTTCACAAGCTTGCATTTCACATTATTCAGATTTTTTATGATGGCATATTGCAAGACTACTACTGAGCTATATTTAGTCGTACACTTTAGGTTGTGATGTATTGTGAGTGTACTGTAATAGTAATAGTAATAGCAATGGTTACAAGTCTCTTGTTTATTTCATGGTAACCCCGCTTTTGCCATTTACATAATCCCATATTGAAAAAAACACACCAGAAAATAAACAAGAGACTGTATGCAAATCTACACTATGGTGTGAATAGGGCAACCATTTCTGTTATTTGCATGTCTCTGGTGCGAATAGTCATTATCTATTCCAGTTGTCATACAAATACCAGTAGTCATATATTTCTGTTTCTTGCCTTACAGTGGTGTGAATCTATTTCTGTAGTTTTTTCACACAATCTTAATTCAGATTGTGAAATGAATGGATGTGGATATTTATCAAGGTGTTTAATGTATGTGTGTAGTCTTAATGTGATTGGACCAGGTATGTATGAGATAAAGATGTGGACGGTTGCACAAATAGATGGAAAAACATATGCATAAAGTTCAATCTGTAAGTTATCATTTTCAGACTTTGTCCGGAGGGAAACTAAGAATTTTTTGCGAAAATAAGGCCTCCAGGAAGGAATGGCAAGTGCTGTATTCTGCCTTAAATTCTTACATATTTTACTAGTGGAATTTGGATTTTGTTTTCATCAAAATAGTGACTTTTCTTTTATCTGTTATTATCTCCATTTTTTGTGAATGAGATGCCCCTACAAACTTCTTGTAAATATTCTAAAATGTTTGTATCCTTGAATAGCAAAAAAATCTTTCTCTTTTATTAATTGCAAAAAACATCAGGGAAAATTTAAATTGAATCATGATGCAAATTAATTCTGTCAACAAAGATGCTGTAAGATGAAAAATTATTTTTTCTTAAAAATGCACAATGCATTATTTATGGATTATCTGAACTGTTGTTTACATGTAAGCACCGTCATAACAATACTAATATATCAGTGGTTAGAGAATAAAGAAAAATAACAGGTGTAAAGATATAATTAAATAAAAGATAAGTAAATAAAGTCATTAATCGCTATTACGTTCATGCTGGTCATGAAACTTTAATGATGTTACGTCACATGTGCTCGTTAATAACCTCCCTGAAAAGGTTGGCAATGATATAACTATATAGCTTCATCTAACCATGTACCTCAGAAAATCATGGAGTTAAAAATACATTTTTATAGCTCCAATCTATGACTCAATTATCTAACATCTCTGCCTGATTCTCAAGTGATTCAGAATGACATGGCATATGAGCAAATACACTCTAAGTTCCTACCTCCTTCTTGAAGAAACTAAATTCTGTAGCACAAATAAAACATTGACTCGCCATGAGCACAAAATCTTGTTAGCAGAGATACAACGGACACGGTATAGACTTCAACAGAAACTTGTCGCAAGTCTTGTTTTGGTGGGAAACCCGGAAGTGATCACATTAACCTCGTTTTCAAGCAACATTCCGAATAAAAAAAAATTAAGCCTATTATTACACCTACACAGTCAATACAATCATAGCTGTAATATTTTTATTTTGCAACATAGTACGCATATTCAAATCACACGAAAAAAAAACACTACAAATGACAACGCACATGTCAGTTAATATAGAAGCCTGCGAACGAGCCATGGCTGCAATGCATTTCGGGTAAACCAAGTGAAGCCATTTCAAATTGGATAGACCTTCGGTTGGCATAGTGGCAGAAATATTCACTAGAAGAACAGGTAAAATCAACTGTATTTTGTTCTTAAACGTGTGACATGGTTTTGAAATTGAAACGCGACAGTTATTGATATTCGATACTCTTATACCACATTGCTGGCTTTCATCTTTGGTTTGTTTCTGCGCGGGAAAATGGCTTTCAAAACATGGCCTTTTCGTAGCGTTTCGATAGAGTGCGGTGACTGTAGTGTATTTAGTTTGGCTCAATGTACGCACTACGTGTTTGGTTAAAACAGCCTTCCTATTGTTGATTCGTCTTGCGCTTTGTGATTTGGCGTTGACTTTCATGATGAAACTTGATTGTTTTCGTTGATTACATGTGTTGTGTTATTTCCAGGTTTGTTCGAAGGTGTATTGTAGACTTAATTTGCGCCTGCGTTTAGTGCTCGCGTCTTAAACCGTCGGAAATGCTGGTTATTTCGGTCAATTTGGAAAATTCCAATTTTTTCCGTGGCATAGGAAACAGGCGTTTAATGCACTCGGGCGCCATTTTGATTGCGCAATGCTAGTGTACGTTACCAAAACATGTCACTCTCATGACATAGCATTTAGACTGCTTGCATGAATTTATTTCTGTTTTTAATTTTACGTTGTGTGTACAATTATGCACACTTTCGAATTTATTATTAAAATGAGGTGGGCTCAGACAATTTGCATATGTATACAAATGACAGAACGAGGCACCGCGTGTTCCACTGGTTTTGGCGTTTCTGAACTGAATATTATTAAAATAACAAAGAAAAAAAAAAACCTTTAATACAGTTAAGTTCTAGTAAATTATATTACACAACTCTTTAAACAGACTGGTAAATGTTGTGTAATCTTGGTTATTTATATACCCGTAAAAAAATGATGGGTTTGAAAAGAAATACCAATACAATCCCACGATGTGTAGAGACATCAAAATATATTTCTGGTCTGAGTTAAAAACTTGTCAAATTTTTTTGGGTATTTTTTTTGTCAGATATTCAGAAAAAATTATAGTGAAAGACTGGAAATGCTATTTCAGAAAACTAATGGTCCAGAAACGTCTTCATAGGCTTGAATGAAAATTGTAGCAAAATGTTATTTGAATAGCTATAGCAACAGGACTGCAATGTCTTATTTACTGAAAAATAATTAATTGTTTTTTTTTCAGTATTTTGTACAAATTAAAAAATGGCTCGTACCAAGCAAACTGCTCGCAAGTCCACTGGTGGAAAAGCTCCACGTAAACAGTTGGCCACAAAGGCAGCTAGGAAAAGTGCACCTTCAACTGGTGGAGTGAAGAAACCACATCGTTACAGGCCTGGAACTGTTGCTTTGAGAGAAATTCGTCGATACCAAAAGTCAACTGAACTGTTGATTCGTAAACTCCCATTCCAAAGATTGGTTCGTGAAATTGCTCAGGATTTCAAGACTGATCTTCGATTTCAGAGTGCTGCAATTGGTGCTCTCCAGGTAATATAGCTCCCCAAATCACTTGTGTAATATTGTATTCAGAAGTCATATTTAACTCCATTGCTATTTTCAAACGGAAAGGTCTGTAAACTCTAACCCATACATTGTGCTTCATTTGTCTAAATGTTTTTTCTGTTGCATCAATTGCTTAGATGCATTTCTTATCCTGTTAAGTCTTCACTACATATCCTAGTTAATAGCTTACTTAATTTAGTTGCATTACATAATGCTAATAACTTGATATTTTGTTTTCCTATTCACAGGAAGCAAGTGAAGCCTACCTGGTTGGTTTGTTTGAAGACACCAATCTGTGTGCTATCCATGCCAAACGTGTAACAATTATGCCCAAGGATATACAGCTGGCTCGACGTATTCGTGGTGAACGTGCATAAATTCTCATTCCGCATTTATTGCACACGTTTCTTATTTATATTTAGTTGTATTAATTTGAGTTTTGTGTTATTACTTGTAATTTTCATGATTACTGCATTCAGGGTTTATAAAATTGCATTTGGGCCGTACTGCCAACAATTAAAAAGAGAATGTTCAAGTCTGCGTTTGCAACTATTGAGACAGTTTTTTTTAAATGCTTGGTTATAATTGACAGTAAAATTACAAAATGAAGATAAAAATGCATAATCTAAGCAAAACAATCCATTGATTCAAGTGAATCCACAAGGCTGTCAACTCGGTTGTTTTTCTGCAGTTGGTAATTTTGCCATTTTGAGTAAAATTTTTGATTCATTTCTACTACTCCTTTACCAAAATTTCAACGGTTTTTTGCACCAAACATTCCAGCAACATCAGGGATAATCCAATTAATATTAAAATCAGGTAATCAACATATGCAGAAAAGTTTTAAGCCTTTTTCCTTGTAAAATGAATGCTCTGCCAAGCTTTGTGTATGGTATGGTCAACACTTTCTTGATGTTAAAGTCAATGTGTATTTTTAAAGGCAGGAAGGTGTTTTTTATTTTTTTTTATTAAACTCACTATCACTACATATTTATATTTTTCATCACTATTGATATTGGAATTTGTTAAATCTTAGATATGTTAGGTATGTTGGAGTTGTCAATTGATGCTTTATTAGCAACTAGAGGAACTAATAAGGGTGTTGAGTTTTAAGAATCAGTGTTCAAATTTCACCAAGTTTCTGAGAGTGCATTGTATATACTGCAACCAATCCCAACCTCTTTATGATCAATAGCACAAGAATGAGGGATTTACGGAATGTTGCATCATGCCTTATTAGTTGTACAATTCCATTTTTGTCATAGTTGAAATTTTACAGGAACCTTAATGTCATCTGTCTAGTTTCTGTCTTGAATAAATGTGTAGAATTAGAAAAGACTGTGCTCTGTGATAAAAAGAATGTTCTGATGGTTGAGCGTAATGATTTGATGTACAGAATGTGATCAATGTATATTTTAATCACAAGTGCAGGATGTGCAGCATTTTATATGCATTGGCCAAGTGATTAACATCACGAGTAGCCAATCGGACTGAGCTGTCGGTAATAAGAAACTGGCCTGAAAATTGCAATGTTGAGAGGTAGTTGGTTTCTGTGGGAACATCTCTGAATAAATTTGTACGCCCTAGCTGCTCAAGAGTATGGTGTGGAAAGTATAATTAAAATCTAATTTATCCAATTAAAATACAGGATGCATTGTAGATGCACGTGGGACGTTTGTCAAAATTTGATTTGTTGCATATATTCACTTTTTACCAAAACCAGGAAACCAAACATTGTTTTCAAATCTTTACAGCAAGTCCAGGCGCTGAAGTAGTGCTAAATGTTGATAACTTACAATAGGTTACACATTTACAGAAGTTACAAATAATGCAGACATGTCTGCAATTTGAAGCGCACCAGAAGGAGGCGCCGCCCATGAAAGTGGAGATGCATTATTTTTGAATTTCTGCTCCAATAAACGACTGGTGCTCTCAACTTAGTTTCCTCCTTCAATTTGCATCCACAGTCCCCCAACAAGGGACCGTTGTGTCACATATTTCAGTGAGGGGCACATAGAGTGGCTGCACTGTAAAGAACGTTAGTTACTACTGGGTGACAGACTGATCATGACAGAATTGTTGATCAGAGTGCATTAATTCTTATGGAAATGTCCATATCACGCTGATCTATGTAACTGAAAGCTGCCTGCAACAAATGTCCTATGAAGACTTCGTCCTGTATATCAATAATGAAATTTAATACATACAGCCAAAACAGTCAGCTTGGACATTCAGTTGTGAGACTTTACAAAACAAGTCCTTGAAAATGAGTCCCCGTTACAGCAATTCCAGGCACTGATTTGACGCTGAGGTAGTGCTAGATGTTGATAACTTACAATAGGTTACACACCTTGTTTTCAAATTTACCTAAGTTGTAACTAGAAATATAAACATCGGCTGCAAATCAGAGGAATGATTGACAGATATTGCCCACAATGTTTTCTATTTTTTCTACAAAGTCAGGTACACCTAGACTTTGAGGCGCATCTGTCTTTCATTCACTTTTGGTTGGTTATCGTGTTGATTGCGTGTCTACAAATCGACATTTGTCCAAGTTGTTTAAACACCACGATGGAGAAGCAAGGAGTCAAAAAAAACAGTTGAAGTGAGAACAAGAGTTGTCGATTTGTATTTTCGTGGACTGTCATTTGCTGAGATTGAAGATCGAAATGGTGTTTCAAAGCAGACAGCCTATAATATCGTCAAACTGTTTGTTACCACCGAGAGTATCCTGCCAGGAAACTGACAACGTTATAGACTATGTCGAATATTATAAAACATTGCGACCGCGCATTTACGGACGAGAAATTCAACAAAAACTACTTGTGTACGGCGGCAACCCTCCCCGGACGTGTGATCGTGTGTTGCCAGTGATAAGCTTTTTAAAGCGATTATTTGGTGGCACATCAACCTTTTGGTTCTCATCGTCGAGAACTAATAATCGAATAACACCCATTCTACTTATGTATCCACACAAAATCAAGGCAGTAACAGGTTTATTTTGGTTACGGAGCTAACAACATGGCGGGCATCTCAAGGCGCAGACGACACTTGTTAAGTGGCTTAGACATATTACGAAACTATCCAAAAACGAGCCAAAATGACAACAACAAATCGTCAAACTGTCCAATTACCGCGATATTATTGCGACAGCCATTTTAATGAGCACATCGGCCGATGAGGGCGCTGTTCTCATCTGGATTCTCGCTGTCCAGAATAACGGAATAATAACATTACACAGAATAATTAATAATAAACAATAAATAAACAAACAAGCAAATAAATGAATAAATAAATAATTAAATAAATACAAGTAAATCAAGAAAAAAACACCAAATTTATTATTTTTTTAATGAATACATGTCTGCGCGTCGTCGCAATATAGAACGTTTGTGACATACCTCAGCCCCGAGAATATGGCTACTGCGTGACCTTCAATGGAAGGGTCGCAGAGAATCCAGAATCACAGACATGTACACTGGGCTAGTCTTTGCTTTAATATGCGTATTTAATTATATGGAAAGATTTTGTATATTTATTTCATGCTTTCAATTCCCACACTGGGGTTCTTTCTATTAAAGCTTTCTTTGATATACAGTGGAACAGAGAAAATATTAACCTATATAATGTGCTTCATTCACTTATTCAAGGCCATAGGCCCAACAAAAGTTGTACAGGTTGCTTATTGAAAACAAAATAATAATATATATGTACATTTACAATCATCATATTAATATTACAACAATTATGTAATTTCGCTCCTTAACTTTAGGGCTTGAAATACAAAAGCTGCAAGCCGCATGAAAATATTTGTATCTTCTGATTTCATTAAGTCAATGAACTTAGTAAAATTAGGTGGATTATAAAAGAAATGCGGTAAGTACTTGTCTCTGAAATTTGCAAAAAATGTACAGACTAAAAGAAAATGATATTCATTTTCAATTTGGTTCAAGTCACAGAGAGTACAAACCCTTTAATCTCTTTCCGTTTATCCTCTGTTAGCTTCAATAAGCAAACAATGGGCTGAGCAACGGAATCTTGATAAATAGCTTCTATGTTTAAAGATATTAACTGAAAATATATAATGCTCGGGTGTAATTGTAGTTTTGAATTCTCTGTAAGTTTCTAATTTATTCATTGTACATATGTCCCCAACCCATTCA